CTTATCGGCTTGGCTTAGTGGCACAAACAGCCAAACCTTGCCAATCGCACATGGGGTGTGCGGTAGACTAACCTCCACGTGGTGCACCCTTGGCAACGTACACTCATACGGCAAAAAAAAGTCTATAAATCGGCAGTTGACTTCTCACTTCAAACTACCATGGCCTGACTGCTTGTCATATTCGACCCCTTTCACAGTACGCATCTTACCTTATTCCCTACCTTTGCGTCTGTCTGCCTCTTTTACATCTGTGAATCGCTCTTCTGATCCCCACCCCTCGACTTTCTGCTACTTTGATGAACCTTCCTTCTGTGAAGCCCGAAGTCAGCTAAATGGCTAATAATAGCTATCATAACGCCTGCCATTTGAAATAAATTTTAATCACACTGGATTTTACTTCTCAGCATTAATTATATTGTATGCAGAATAAAGACATGTATTTTCATTTTGATTTATGTTTATAAAAGTGGATGTTGTTGCCTTATCTTTATAAGAGGCTAAATTGGTTATGTATCAACCATGTTTCCTAATTGCGAGTATTCAGCAATGTTAAAAAAAACCACTGCACCATCTATTCACTAATTACAAAACGGAAACGGAAATTCGGAAAATATGTAAGAGTATCAACGATCGGTTGAGAGCAGGCAGAGCATCCACCCTGGGAGTATTTTCAAACCCTCTTATAACTAGTACCAATAGCTTGAGTATTTGAAGTTTACCTGGCTTATTTTTATTCACTTTTCTAGCTTATTTACATCACAGCTGACAAGGGAGAACCCTCGATGATGCCACGTCTCCAATTGTCATTTTTTCAATTCTGTTTTCATTCTTCATCAATCAGTTCTATCATCATTAATCAGGTAAAACCAAAATTTTTGCTAATTTTTCCCCCATTTATTCTGTAAGAAACGCACAAATTATCATTTAAACAAGTTATATTTAATAAAACACGAGGTCAATAAATTATAATGATAAAACTGTGAAGTTAGAAAGAACAAGGTGCATGCGCTGACTTAGTTATCCAGGTTCATAAGTAAAGCAGTGCCACGCTTGACCCAATGATCAGGCTGTGCATCGCCAGTTTTCAATTCAACACCGATCATAAACGATTGTTTTCCTAATGCCCCAGCTCGATTTTGGTAGTAATAGCAAGGGCAGACGTAGACAGCTAAAACACAAATCAAGTTGGTTATATTGCGGTCTGCTTTCGAACTACCGTAGAAATAACGTCGATGGGACTTACATCTAGGAATCTTCTTCTTATTCTCAATAGGTCTGAAATGAATAACCGGCATGCCGCAGACCAACATCATAGGCGTAGCTTCTATTAAACACTGACTCCTGATATCCCACCCAGCGCCTTCTAGGTAGAGACCGCTAACGTATACCCCTTCTTTCGGAGTATTAGTAATGTTATGCTCTGAGTAATTGAGCACATTGAAATCCCAACTTAGCGTATCAATGCCTACACCATGAGTACGAGCTGATATCTGCATAACAGCAGTCAGAAAGCCAGTAGGGAATGTAAACGCCCCAATCCAGAAGCTTTTCGGCGGTCTTGCAGACTGCGACCACTGAAAGAACAATTTGATTCTTTCCGCCAAATCTTGGACCCAAGAACTCAGTGGGCGGAGGGAATTATAAGCCTTAAAACAAATGTAAAGTCCGGTAAAGGTAACCTTACGAATTGCCACTGAATTGGAACACGATTCTCGTAAATAGCCGCAAAGATCTCCTCCAACTCAGCTGACATAACAACTAGACCTTGAATTGCCTTTTGAAGGTCAATTAAATGTGTCCTAATCAGGCTAAGAAGATCATTGTATCTTTGTATCTCTTGTAATAGTACAACTTTCAGTGGAGAATTATCATTGCTGAAAATCTTAGCAGTGGCATCATAATCGAGATCACTTGGAACTTGCTCCTTCATATTCTGAAGAAGGCCTAACACTTTTGACTCCTTTGACTCCTCGCCGGCAGATGAAATCTGTAAAAAGAAATAATTAAGGATTGTTCCAAGCGTAACACAAAGAATTTATCGCATTCACTCACTTTGGGTTGTAAAGACAATAAACCATCAAAGAGAACTTTTGTCTCCTGTATTTGGGAAGAAATATCTGCGTTTAAGTGTTGCCCAAAAGCTTCAGGATGATCGATAATAGGCAGTGTAGAGACGAAGTCTCTGTAGGAACTCAGATTACCGTCGCGTGGAATATAGTAATGTGACAACGTTGAGAGTTTGTAGAAAGCCTCAGATAGCACATTTTCACTGAAGTAACCATCTATATAAGTGAGAAGTAGACGTCTATCCCAGTCATCTGTCACATGGCCACCATAATTAATCCCCGCAATCAGGTATCGCAAAGCTTCCCATGGAGTATCATCATATTGATCCAAATATGTAGTCAATATATTTTCGGACACTTCAAAATCGGCGTCATTGAATTGATAGATGACATTCCACCCCAACATACCAAATTTACGACGCTCTAGTAGGGTCGAGTGGAAGAAACAAAGAGAAAAGAGCAATTTCTTGTATTTCTCAGGCCTTGAGCAGGCAGAAAACTGGTCTTCCTATAAACGGTAAAAATAAGACTTGACATTCTACTTATACTAAATCAGTAGCAACCAAAGAGAATAACTTACGCTAATTATATTATAAAGGCGCTTCATATTAGCTCGAATACCCTTAGGCGGTTCAGTAGTCATTTTTATGCCGGCTTGAAGGATAGAAATAGGGAATTGTGGGCTAGGGTTAGACGAAAGCCACAATCGGAATTCATTGTGAGTTTGGTCATTTCCCATTTGTTCCACCAATTTATCAAGTTCGGGCATCCACGACAAGGATAGGTGACAATTAGCCAAGAAGACCCACTTTCCATCTTTCATACCCTCTTCGATCAACCTCGTGGCTATTGGGGCTTGACCTTGACCTAGAGAAAGAGCTGTGAAGCGTTTACCCATTCCCAATGCCTCAGCCATTTGCAGAAGACCTGCCGTTGGATCAACGCCCGGGGACAGTACAAATATTAGAGGACTTCTGCAAGAGCTGTCTTCAACCACCTAAACAGACAAAGTTGCCAAACTACAACCAAACTTACACTTCTCATGTCCAGTACTGGAGGCTCAACAAACTGTCTTCCCATATTATTCGTTATGAATTCAGTAGCACAGAATGTTACACGATCAGGCCTCAATGAGCGCACAATAAGCATTCGTTGAAATTCCGTTGCCCTATTCTCCCATTCACCGGGTAATTTGGAGGTTTCTGGTTCATTTGACGAATACCAAATATGCCAATCTCTAGGGTACTGTTCAAATGAATTGACAATTCCACGATAATTGGATAGTTTACTTAACTCAGTAATATTGTCCCAAGAGAGACTAGATAACCAATTTTGAACTGGGTTATCCATCTGATGAGCACGGTCTAGAACAATTCCTCCACGAAGGAAGAACAAGTATTCTTCCATGTTGATTTTACCCAACTCTTCCAGGACTTTCATACAGATTTGGAAGGAGAAGAGTAGTTTGTGGCGTTCAAACAAACCACGACATGTGTAACGATATACAGCATAAGTGTGGTAGCTATTCAAATGCTCGATCCTTTCAGCAAATCGTTGTGAACGCTGGCTCTTCTCTATGCTCAGCGTGAACAAGTCGATATATGTATCCAGAGCGAATTGATACATAGGATCAATGGAACCAAGATCATTCAAAACAAAGAAGAGAAGAGCGGCTCGTCGTGCGCATGGACGATAACCGTTACGAGCCTGATCAATCTGCATTTCAGTTCTTTCAGATATAGACAAAAATTCCGTTACATCCTAAATGAGTAAAAATGAAGGCGTCAAGATGTTGTAAGCACCAGATTTCAAATCTCATTCAACTCACAGCTGAAGTGGATTTAGATGTTTGCAAAGTCGCAAACAGATTCTCATCTTCAAGCAATGAACCCTTCGTCTCATTCAGGAGTAGAAGAAGCTCATCTTCAAGTTCTTTTAGTTTCTTCTTTCCATTCGCAATACCCATAACTAGACTGTCTTTCTGTTCCTCCAATTCGGGCTTTTCCTTGCGTACAACAATACCCAGTAACTGAGCTTCTAAGCCCTCTTGCATCACCGCGAAATTCACCACTGTTGTCTTTGTGCAAATCTCCGGTGGGTAACATGGATTTGACAACTTTGTTGTTATGTAAAATCTAAAAAAAAACAAAATTAATGCGACTGTACTTATTAACCGAATACTTAACTTTATTTAGTGCTGGAGGCTTCACAAAAATTTGGTGAATAATAAATAAGAGGAGAAAAAAGATTGATCCCCCCCCCCCCGAGCAAGTTTTGATCATTAAAGATAGCAAAAAATTGTTGGCTATTGTAATGGATTAACACAGAAACCGTGGACCCTTATTGTGTCCTCCTCGTGTAGGAAATTCTTAAGTTGAGTTCAATGGCATGTCGTAGGTAAAAGGGTATGATCATCATCATCATTTTTATCGCATTCGCAGTTGTAGGGTATACAGCAAACAAACCCTGGGTTTCAGATATAACCAACTTCACAATCAATTTACAAAATCGGTTAATGATTACAGAGCATCAAAAATCCAAGGAAAACATATGTGATTACATCAGATACTTCTTTCATATCACCTGCTCAATATGTGCACAGATACATATTCATACTCGTAGTATTCAAATTAAAAATGGTGGTTAGTTACAACACGTCCCATCCGTAAATAGACCAGCTTTCTGCTCCTTCCAAATTTAAAATAATTTAATTTTCCAAGAAATAAGTTTATTCTGGATCTCTGACATGACACATAGGATTTCATTTACCTGCATCACCTCAAATAAAAATCAATAACTCCGTTAATACAACATGAGGACTTGGGCTTTAAATATAAATCGATTAAGCCTACGCTGCTAGTAAGAATAGTGGAGCGACACGAACTTGAACGTTGTTTACTTGAATATAATTTTGAGTGAATAACGGCAAGAAAAAAAGGACCTATTTAATGCAAAAAAAGGAGATGAAAGATTCTAAATAAATATATTTCTAACTATTACGATTGGGCATGCGTCCCCAGTTAAGTGCATGACAGTAAATTTTAAGGGACAAACAGCATGTACCCTATTGACCACATATGCCCTAATTTACGGACGGGCTAATGTAATCCCCCCCCCCACGTTCAGGTCACTTCCGCATTACGGGTCACACACATACACACACACACACACACACACACACACACAAAATATCATCTGACTGTTCAAATTATAAGTTCGCTTTTCCCACGGATTACACAGGCTTACAGCGAATTAAGGGTATCACTTAAATAAAAGGAGCTATTTGGCTCCAACTAAGTAACCTTAACAAGTTTTCCTCAATTGGTAATAATGGCAATTATAAAGAATAAAAATTATTTATTTTATATCAAATGACAGGCGTTTTGATGCTAAATATGTAGAAAAAATGGGTTTTACCAGGATTTGAGGATTTTTAACGCTTTCTTAGAATTGATAAGTTAGGCTCACCTGAAATCGTGGTTATACTCAACCTCCTTATCTCCCAATCTCATAAGCTCTGCACCACCTGATTTGATAAGTGACTTATTCAGAACAGGATCTAAACCGGGATCGAGAGTTTTCAAAATGTTCTGAAGTAGCACTGGCCAGCCATTTTGAATGGCCTGGGCAAGGATCTGCATGTAGTTCTTCATCTGAAGATCAATAACCCTCAGATTTTCACCCTCCATTGACTTGATCCAATTCATTGCTTGACACTGAGGGTCAATCATGAGCGGCCATCGGGTGGTCTTAGAGACGATAACCCCATTATCGATCGAAAACGAATCACGGGGAAGGCCCTGGATATTCCATTCTCGAACCTTGCATAGGGAATAGTCAGTAATCAATAAAATTTTACCCAACATAAACGATCTTTGAGCTGAACTCACTTTAGCCGGATCCGATAAAAATTCTGTGAACGAATAAGGATCCGATTTGGGAATTTGCTCCGCATCAACAGCTTTAATCCATTTGGAAACCAATTCATTTCGATATTTCAAAAGGAATGGGCCCATGTAGGAGATGAATCCAGAAGAAAGAAGGCAATCGCCAGTAAGAAGACCGATTTTGCGTTCAAGGTCTGCTAATGTCTCAGTCCAACGTACTTTTTCATCAGCTAAATCATCGACTAACATTCTCGCTCTCCCAAGCATTTTTTCCAGATTTTCCGCTTTCTTTCTTAGTTCCTCTTTTTGTTCCATCTAGATAAAAAATATTATTATTATTATTAAAGACAGGAAACTTATACCTTTTCATTGTATTCATTTTGTAAGCGGTTCATTTCAGCCATGAGAGCTTCTAATTTTGCTTCAGCAGCCGCCAATTGAGCCCTCTTTTCGGCTAAAATGGCTTCAGCTTGTTGTAAACGTTGACGTTTTGGCTCGACGATACGATAAACTCGTCCATACACCTCAATCGCTCTAACCCACATACAGAGTGATTTAGCAGCAAAGGACACCTTTCCAACCGTTTCAGGCGTAAAATCGTCCTGCACAACATAGGTACCAATCTTTTTTAAAGTCTTATCACTTATGTGATCCTTGTCAAAGTTGATAAGCTGACCAATAAAGTCCTGTTCTGCCAAGTGCTTCTTTGATTCTGTCCATGTAGGTGGAGCCTGACGCAGAATCATCACAGCTTCCATGACCTAAAACAGATAGAGGAGAGTTATAAGCAAATCTGTTACAAGACTTCAGAGCTTACCTTTCGAACTAATAAGGGTGGCTGGCCGTAGGACTTTATTTCAGTGATATCCTTCTTATTAAGACCTTCCAACGCTTTGACAGCTGCCTCTAGGGCTGGCATAGCTTGAGCCAAATCGGCTTGGGCTACTTCGGCCATTTGCATGCACTTCGCCTCGTCCACTTTGATTTTTTCTTTCGTGAGGGTGACAGACTGGTTTAAAAATTAGCAAAGATAATGGGATAATTTTGTCGTAAAATTTACAATATCTTCAATAATCATATGAGTGAATTCGGAGTCCATTGTTTTTATGGCATTTATGCCCACCGCTTTATCGTAAAAGTGCCTTATGAAACTAGGTTCATTGTGTATTGTGAGACACGTTATCGCTGTGTGCGTCATCGTATGCCTGCATGTCTGCTCGCCAGGATTGGGAGGTGCGACCGTACAACTCTGTGTGCAGCGACCGTACAAACAGTGACCAATCATTAACCCCTGTTTAACCTAATCCCCATCCTGATCATGAGTAGCTCCCTGCGTATACACTTGATCCTCAATAAACGTCCTGAATAAACGTGCTCCGTGCTACACGTCTGTTTCCTTGATAGCTGGGCTATAGCTTAGCTGGTTCTGGGAGTCTAGCTAGATGCAGGAGAATCTGCCATAGAGATTTCTGAGTCGGTCAGGCTTTACTAAGGTAGCAATCCGCTACAGTATCCTCGAAGCCGATTCTTTACCTGTTTATGCATGTTTGAAAATCATAGAACATAATGGGCGTTATTCTAATCAATGCAATTTCATGTGAATTACTTTGGCCAATTGCCAATTGAGCCTCTACATTTAAGCCTATTTCTGAAGTATACGTGTCAGAATATCGTATGATTCAGCAGCAGTAAAGTTCAGCAGAGAATAAAATGCAAATGGGAATACTGGTTTTCTACTTTTTTCTATTAGTTGATCATAAAATCAAAGTAAAAAATGGTGACTAGAACCTGTGAAAATATCAGAACAAATAAACGCTAATTGATATTCTGAACTCAGCATTTCAAGATAGTGTCTAACAATCGGATGCCGGGTACTTCAAAGATAAATCGTTTAAACATCATCCCGAATATAGGGCTCTGTATTTAACCCCTGCACTGAAAGTCACTTTTTATAACCCTATTCCATTCATAGGCCATGCACTCTTGCTTGGTTATCTGCTTCAGAATTGAATTGAATTATCACTCAAGACGATGGATATACGTATGCCACATGTTTTCATAAACAGCTCCTAGAAAATGTCTCCGTATAAAATATTCTCTGTGTGAACTGTCTTTAGTTGCTGCCTTGCACTTAGCGCCAATTTATAACAAAACAGTGACTTTTGCTGCCTCATTGGGAAATATTTATCTCGATTTCATACCTTGGTCTGTTCGTCAGCTTCACGTTTCTGATCAACTAGGACGACCAGACAGCTATCGCATTCTTTCTGGAAAACTGCCACCTTTTCTTTCGCTTCCTCCAGCTCCTCAGACATTTCTGCGGAAATAAAAATTTAATCAATTTTAAAATAATATTTAGTATTGATTCACTCATAATTACAAGATATATTACATTTGCATGAAGAGAGACAAGATCTATAAACAGTTAACTATTCATCAATTAATCGATTTCACTTATCTTTCTCATTATCCCGTATTTAATTCGCTTTGTTCCATCCTAATTGCTAATTTTCCTTTCTTATGTTATTTTTTTTAATATTTAATCGCAGTTATCTGCCTTCCGTATACCCTGCATCACATTTTGCCCTATATTTTCCTTATACATATCAATGGTGTTGTGAAGGCCTTAGAAACTTGATGGCTGAGTCAATTTCTCTAATGTGGTGAAAAGAAAAAAAATGGAATCCACCATATTTACAAACCTTCAACTTTGCTCCGAGTATCATCAATCTTGCCCAGACCGCTCCTTAATTTGTTGGCCCAGTTAGTGAGCTCAGTCCTCTTTGATTCAAGCATGCTAAATGGAAGAAATTAATTTCACTTAACTAGCATTGCAGATAAAATAAATAGCAACATCGAAACGGGACTCACCTCTTGTAGCCTGATACGAGTTCAAGGAAGTTGGTGGGCGTAACATAGTTGCGCCTTCTCAACTCATCCATCATTCTCTCCGACATTTGAGTTACTGAACCATGCATTGTCGCAAAGACTCGGGCCACACCCGTCTTCAATTTATTCTGCAAAATGTAATTGTAAATTTGATATCAAGTAATGCCAGACACTGTGTGACGTGAGTACGCGATAAAATTTTCGTGAAAAAGACCTTTTGCACAATCGAAACTTCGAACTGCAGGCTGAGACGGCTGATTTCTCTTAATGTACTTAATTGGTAGCTATTTCAAAACCGACCCCAACTAGCTAACGGTGGTTACTCAAGAATGGGCTAAGAAATTGAATTGCTTATTATTTCTACACTAAAGTAGGAGTGACACACCCCCGTTATCTTCATCAGGCGATATGACTTGACTTTTTCCTGCCCATATTGAGTTCATTCGTATTCCTCCCCACACCCATCCACCTCCGTCATATTCCATATGCAGGTCACGAGGTAGCTCCTGCCCTAATATGAACACATATCTGTGTGCAGCCCAACGATAATCTAATCCGCATATTGTAGGAATAAGTCTTTTCTTTGTCAGATGCTACTTGAACTCCCTTGCTTGGTGCAGAGCCTGATACCTCAAATCCTCACTCATGTGTGTATTGAGAGGCATAATCATTGAAAAAGAAAACCACCAATGAACGAAAAATAATAACGACTAAAATTCACCAGAACTAACCAAACTAGAAGGTTTCTCAACGAGAAATAACTTACGTTTATACGCTGCTCCTAAATGTAAAATATGCCACAGTAACTATTAAACGATTCACAAATTAAAACAATGAAAGGTGTAGAATGGAAATTTGACTTACGTCTTCTCCAACAAAGAGGGTCACGTCAGTTAGGTACTTAGTGGCAACTTCGAGAAGTGCATCATTCGGCCATTCACTGAACCAGTCAATTGTGGTACAATTTACAAAGCCCGGATACATTCGTAGACGATCACGGAAGGGTTCACCAATAGGACTCATGCAGAGAACAATATGCAAGTTGGCTCGAACTCGTTCAATGAAGTACCTGTAGACCGACTAAAAGGGAGATAGCAAGTTGTTAATAGCTGATCTTTGACAAAACAAAAATTCGCCTTAGAGTCTATCAAATTCAAGCTTCGCGTTTCCATCTAGTATTGGCCATGCACTTACTTGGGGTGATTCATCAACACCTTCCCGTCTGGCATGATCGATGATTGAATTGTAGATTTCTTCGAACTCGTCCGCTTTAAAGAGGTTGGGTACCTCTCCAGAACTCAGTAGGTTATTGATGTCTTCCATAAAGGACTCTTCAGCAACTTGGGTATCCGAAAAGAGGAAGATTGTGGAAAGACGTGATATACCGGTCTGACGATAAAGGCGCTTCAAGTCTATGAAGAAACAATAAAAGGTCAGAAACTCAGTTGTAAGTATTGCAGATGTTGACAGCCAATATCTACTTTTAGAATAGGACCGTTGCAATGATAGAACATAATTGTAATGTACTTCAGTGTTAGTTGAATGGCAATGTCTCTAGCATCAATTACCTTGTGCTATGTAAGGATAGGTAAGTGGAAGATTAAGAAATTACTTTACTGTGTCTCTTAGAATTTAAATATATACCCATTTTCCTTCCCGTTATTAATAAAGGAAACATTAGCAATCAGAACAAGAGCAAAAGAATTTTCGTTATTCTAACGAGAACTTGAAGTTACCTTCACATGGTTTGGTTATCGTCTTGATGATAATAAAACTCAATTTATATTATGCCCTTTCGGTAAGATGTAGACAAAGAATTTTTCAGGGAATCCAATGCGCCCTGAGCAAACTGCCTTAATTAAACCACCTGTCGGTGTAATGTCTGTACTCTGGTTAGCCATGGCGTCAGTCTATGCACTTAAAGGCTTTAATCTGCACTTTTGACAGATGAGGCGACCAACCTATTCGAAAACAAAGTGCACATTCAAGTGCTTGGGTACCGGTGAGTAATCACCGTACTATCCACTTTTCCATCAGGTGACATCTGATATTGATTGGGGAAACTTGACGGCAACTCTGTTCCTTGCCCTTTCCGATTGTTCATACTCCAAAACTAGTGAAATAAGCCCTTTGGTGTCGTGAAAATATGGGATAGTTTGGAAGTGAGCTATCATATCCCAGTTACTTACAAATGGTGATTAAAGTGACTTTACAACTTACCTTCTCGGAAATCAGCCTTCTTGTAATTCTTATTCACTTCAATTGTAAATATTCTGAAATGGCAAATATAGGCAGCGAGTTTTGTTAAACTACTTCGACCACTACCACCGACACCAATCAGGAGCATGTTTCCTCTTGGCTGACTGACAACTCGAAGTATTCTACAAGCTGAAAATAATATAGCTCAATGATTGGCTCACGTTGCCTGGAAACGACAAACGGGAAAATGTCAAATTAGGAATAAAGCCTACTGTGTTCAATAGCATCCTTAAATAGAACGAGATCCATCGGAATAACACCAGGAGTTGAGTTATATTCATTTATAAAATCGTAAAGACCATTTCTTAATTTATCATCATCCGCAATATCCTCATAAATTCCAGCTTTATTCAATACTTCTGTAAATACCGGCGCATTTCTTGAGGGGCAAATATTGTGAAAGGTCTGATCAAAGTATTGAGCCAGCCGCGCAGTCAGAAGTTCAATGAACATTGTTGCATCCTTGGCGTTTATAAGTCGATCAGCGAATACACGGAAACTTTCATGAACCCATAAACGTAACATAGCATGCTTTGAGTCAACTTTCATTGCGTTTGCCCTAAGAAGGCCTTGGTATATCTTTGAAATATCACGAAGATTGAATAGGTAATGTATTCGATCTGGAGTTGGAAGAAATTTGGTGACAATGGCTGTGTACAAAGAGATCGTAGCATCTGTTATTGCATCTCCGAGTGATTTAACCTCCTCATCAAAATCAATCATCTTCTGATTGATCATGCTACCGAATATCTGCTTCAAATTGGTCTCCTATAAGAGGATATAAACTCGTAATTTGGTCAAGAATTGATTTAGGTGTGAAATTTTGAGATAAGTCGAACTTACAGTTGGGAAGGTAACATTGATTTGATTAAACTTTGATTGGAGCCGTTTGGAAATCGGCATACGACCACCCCCAGGGGGTCCCATACCAGCTAAAATGAACATTCGCTGTATTCTCTTCGGTAATTGCTTTTCCCGATCATACCAGAAGCCATAATCAAGATATTGGCGAACTAATTCAAGTGGAGGCTGTGAACCAAATTCATCCTTCACAGGCATGTTTAAATCATCCATGAAAGTAACCATTTTGGTACCTCCAAGTGGAACGTACGTTCCTTTGGTACGCTTTTCAACTCTGGATTCGATTATGTCTTGCACATTATTTGAGGTTGTCTAAGTGAGAAAGAAAATTGGTTTTAAACCAACTCCCATTTTAATACATACCTGTGCAGACATGTTAATTATGAGAAAAGACCAGTATTCTTTGTCCAGATTGAAGAGTACATCTTGGGCCACCGATGTTTTTCCTGTTCCAACAGGACCTGTGATTAGAACAGGACTTTGGGCTGCAACAAGGGTGTTCACTAGGTAGTTGTAACGAACAGTATCAACTGTCGGCACCAAAATCTTGTAGAAAGGTAGCCTAAAACATTAAAAGATATAGTGTAAACGATTTGAGTGCGATGAAATCATTTAAAAAGAAAACTTACTCAGGATCATATTTCCATCCACCACGAAGTTTTTCTTCCCAATGAACCCAAGTTTGAGATTTTGGGTTAAGGAAGAATTCATAGACCGAATCCTTATTAGGGAAGCTGGCATCAAGTTCACGAATGAAGGAATCGACCTTCTTTCGACCGTCTTCATCCACGACACATCCCACTGACCAGATTACACAAAACTGAAATTGCATCTCAATCAACCTGTTGAAGGTCTCTATGTCTGGCATTTCAAACTATAAATGGGCAAATAGCTTTACGCTTTCGGTTCTTACTGGTCAATATTTTAATATAGACAAGATGTACCTCGCTTCCATCACCATATATTCCATCAAATAGACGACATAGACTGATAATGAGATTGGTTTCACTAACTGGAATGAGTTTGTTGCAGTTGTTGAGAACAAAGTGGAGAATTTGGAGGAAGTTGTTTTCAAAAAGATCCCTTAGGACGTTTTGCAAAGGTTTGGACTCCTTCTTGGCCAGCCAGGAGTTAACATAAGGCCACCAACCAAGGTCAACTACGTCATTGTATACCATACCAGCTCGAGAGACAGTGGCCGGTGAGGCCACTGATAAGTCCTCGACTTCAAACAGTAAGGACACCTATGGCATGAAGAAAATATGAATGATTAGTCTTAATATCATTGATGATATTGGCTATCACCCTACTAAGGGCTCCTGCATGCCAGTAGCAGGTTTAATTTAACCATTTTAAAGAATTCTGAAAGCCATGTTGAAGAACCATTTGTTTATAACTGTTTCTTGATGTGGAGTGGTCGATAGACTTACCTCCGCGTGGCGTACCCTGGGCAACGTATACCCATACGGCAAAAAGTCTATAAACCAGCAGTTGACTTCTGACTTTAAACTACCATGACCCCACTGTAAGCCATATTCGACCACTTTCCATCTGTGAATCACTCTTCTGCCCCCCC